ATTTTAAAAATAACTTTTTAAGATTTATATAATTATGATAGAGAACACTAATTATGATAGAGAACACGGAGATACATATTAAACCAAACAAGAATGATAAATAATTTTTTATTATAATTACTTCCTACATATTTTTTCTAAGCAATTTATTTATTGTGCTCATGGAAATGGAATAATAAGTTAAATGTTTCCGAGATGAGAATGATTAGGTGGATGAGTGGCTTTACACTTAGAGACAAAATGCGGAATGAATATATTCGTGATAGGGTTGGTGTAGCTCCTGTGACAGACAAAATTAGAGAAAGTCGTCTTAGATGGTTTGGTCATATTAAACGTCGACCATTAGATGATCCGATTAGGAGAGTAGATGTTTTAAATTCGACTTGTGTTAAGAAAGGTAGAGGTAGACCTAGGAAGACTTGGGCTTATTGTATTAAAAATGATCTTAATTTACTAGAACTAAATGAAAATATGACACTAAATAGGAGGCAATGGAGAAAAAGGATTCATGTAGCCGACCCCACGTAGTGGGATTAAGGCTTTGTTGTTGTTGTTGTTGTATACATTTAGCTATAAAATCTATCTTTCATTACATATTATGTGTATAAAAAAAGAAAAACAAACATTTTTCGAAGTACATTAATCAAGCGACTGTATCTCTTATTGGAGGAATTATCATCTGCTGCTTGGTCGTCTTGAGTCTCGCCACCTCTGGATAACGCTGACGTAGCGGAAAAGAGCTTGACAAATTATGTCAAGTCAGAGTACTTCAGGTTGACCATTCTAACTAAACACAAACTGGTTGATTGTTAGTTTAGTGTTGAGCTGGAGATGCTTGGCCTGCCCCTCGCTAAATTCCATAATGATCTTCATGGCGGAGTCTCTGTTATCATCCAAAATGATTGAGAGCCAGTTAGACGCACTCTCTATCTCTCCCTTAACTACCGCCAGCCTAGCCTCTTGTCAACTGTCTGTTCACCTTTTCAGCCAACTTGACCTCTGCCTCAGCTGATGGTTCCTCAGACGCCAACACCCGGGCCCAGGGAAGCTTGACTCTCTTCCTTGCCTTGTCCTTTGCTTTTTTGGCTATAAGGAATCATGTTGCTAGGTGGTGAGATGAAGCGAGCTCCACCAATTGGAACAGGTCGACCACACGATAAAGGTCCCACAGGTCATACTTATTCAGCCACTTCTCAAAGCTTTTGGATCACAGGACATCCGCAATTGCAGTGACATACTTGTCGGCGCCTAGACCATTTGGGTACTAGTCCAGTAGCATGTCAATGAGCGCAAAATAGGAGTCTCTGGTAGCAAAAAACGTCGGCTGTTCCTCTTGCATCAGGCTCCAGTCGCCCACTCCTCTGTATCTCTTCCGCTGAGGCGGGGGAAGATCATCCTCAGGCTTCTAGGGTGCCTTGCCCTGTCGTCGGCAAGCTTCCTTAGTGGCGGATGGCTCACCTTTGAACTTGACTTGAAATTCGACAAAAGCCTCTTCAATTATCGTAGCAGCCTCAGAATTGACACAAGTTCAGGAGTCCTAGGAGATGGTCGTCCAATCTCCCCCTGTTAGCGTGGCTGATGATGCTGGGAGGAGTCGCCTGCCGAGGGCTACTAGGTGTCGGTTGGACTGTTCGTCGAGGGCTCTTCAGCATTCGATCGGAGGTAACTCGGAGTTCGGGATCATCCTCTTCGCGAGCTTTCACACCTAATTTCATCAAAGTTGGCTTTCACTCGATCAATATTAATTCACCAGTGGAGATATCTTCGATCATAAACCATTGTTTTAAAAGTAGATTTATTCAATAATCTTTATTTAATTAGAGTTTTGATTACAATTTCTATTTGGCATTTATTAAATTACACACCTTGCTCATAAAGAAATTTCAAGAGGACTACTAACTCTTGAAAAATTCCGATTAAGGCCCCCTTCCTCTTATGTTTTTTAATAGCCTTCATTTTGCTTGTTGCCATGCTGGCATGTTGGCAAACTGAGTGATTAATTATCCCTTAAGATTGAAAAGGCGGTGCTTCTAGGAGAAATTCGGAGATTAATCACAGGAGAGCTATCTTTATTGTTGTCAAGATTAGGCTACACATTAGCATCACCAACAGAGCATAGTGATAGCTTATTCAAAATGGGCTATAAAGTTGTCATAATTTGGTCTCTTGTTTTATTATGTATTGGCATCTTAATCTTTGGTAGACGATGTTCTTTGGCAGTTTGAATGGATGAAGTAATGGTTGATTGAGCTACCCGCTTTGATAATTGTTGACACAAAATATAAGAGTTGTCATCCTTGGATGATTCAAAAAGATGAAGATTTTCTATAACAGTTTGCGATGTTTGGGGGACAACTTGAATTCTTCTCGAGGAGGGTAAGGATTAATTAAGCTAAGTGTTTGCAGACATTATGGATCATTTGAGTAAGTTGGTCCTGCTTATCTTGGAGCAGTTTCTAGGTACTTAGTCATCATGCTACACACCAATATGAGTTTGTTCATATGCACCATTATGGGTTGCAGTCTAGTTGCGTAGTTCTAATCATAATTAAATGCTCAATACAAATGTAGAATGTTGGATCCAAGGTTGATCAGTGAAAATTTGTCAAAATTTTCAGCAACTTCAGAAATTATTGTGACGCAATAAACAAAAGGGATCACATCACTTAGAATTATGCACTATGCTATTATAGAGAACTTAGCCGAACCTCTTGAGCAAAGAAGGGGTGATTTATACTTCGCAAAAATATAATTTAAAAAAAAAATGAGAAGAATGTATTTTAAAATTTTGGAAAATTTTATTGCCAAGTGTTAAGAATTCAAGATTCTTTCATAGATCCAAATTGCCATCCGTCATGCTTGAAACCTCGACCTTTATTCATAGTTAAGGATTATCATCGTTGCTATAAGATGAGGTAGATGTAAATTAGCTACACTAAGTTTAGTTTGATGTTTCTCTCTGATCAGTTATGTAGCTCACATTTTGTCGGGCTTTAGATGAGAATCTTGATCAAATTCATTAGACGAGTTTTATTAATTTTTTATCCAACTCTAGAGCTCTAACAGTTGATTATCTACCAAGTATTGCTAGATGAATGCTACTTTTGATTGATAGTATTTATTGAGTATCGATGTTAAACTTTATTATGCAGTCATCAATGATCACTTCCTCAAATGATTTGTTATCTTTGGGTGATTTCCTGACATTTGTGGCTGTCTAATCATAGAGAAATTTTTTTTGATGATTTTAGATAATTCATTACTAACCAATTGTTCCTCTAGCAGGGTTGGAGACAATTATCCTTTTGTTTGATAGACTTGGATAATCAAGTTGTTGATTCGCTAAGCTTTGGCAAATATAGCCATAGAACTTCTGGGTGCATTTTCTTTCAATAGCTTGTTTCAGTTCGTTATTAATTTTTAGTGCATTGTTTCATGTTATTAGAAGTAGTACATTTAGTCAAAATGAATCACATTAAATTTTAGAGGTTTCAAAAATGGTCCATAATCAGGTTATTTTCTCTTGCTAGTGAGAACCTTAGCTCACTCCATTGACCTTTTCTAAAATTTATGTTTTAGCTATGAGATTCCTTGTTTTACTCTACTGCTACAGTTATTGTCGCCTATTTTTGCCCTAGTACTAGCTGTGTGAATCTTTTGTTCTTGCCTCTAGTGGTGCTATAGATTTCTCAATGCGTTGCTTCATTCAGTTAAAACCAATGCATTGGGTTCTGCTTTGTTGTTTGAAGCAATAAATCACCTTTGAATTCAATGTGTCTCTGTTTAAATGCCAGTGCACTTTAAAATTTTATGAATTATGAAATGAAATGTTACCATCTGTTTTTGTTGCACACTCAAAAGTTGGAGAAAATAACAATGGTAGAAATGGTTAACTAGAAAAGCCAAAATTAAATGTTTGATTTCAAATGGTTCTATAGTAATTGCTTACTCTCTGCTTTGTTTTGCTTTTAAAGTTTCCCAGTTTTCTATAAATTGAGTTATTAGTTCTCTTTTCTATCTGCAAGTCTGATTCCAATGAAGGAATCAATTCATATTTCAAACTCCCACCGAAGTTTATCAGAGGGGAATAAAGTTAATAAGAATCTGTTAGATAGAGCTAGCATTTCTTTTAGCTATTTAATGTTACTATAATTTTTACTATTCTAAATGCATGTTGACTTTCTAATTTATTTAGTTTTTATGCCTTGAGAGTCATCATTCTTAATTCGTATGTTTTCTGAGAGTTGCTTGTCGCTTGACATCATTCATTTTGTAATTTGATTTAAGTATTATGTGAAATATCTTGTTTGGTCATCTTGTGTTTCTTTTGATTTTTCAATGTATATGCATGGTTATTGGTGATTTCTTATGCTCAAAGGTGCAACATGCCTATTGGTAATTTCAAAATCTTAGAGTGCTTGATTTACAATTAAACCATTTGAACTCTTTTAGAACCTTTTACATTCTACATGTTGATGAAATAACATGCGTTCCTATTTTAGTTGCATTATTTACCCTAGTAATTTTTGCTTGATTTGCGACTTTCTTCTCCTATGGAAGTTTGTGAATTCCTTTAACAAGAGAACTTTAACTTCTATCATTATATATTGGATAATGTTTGGCATAGCTTAGTTGAAGCTTAAATTTTCATTTAGCAATGGTGTTCCATGTATTAAAATTTAATTTTGTCACCTTTTATGAGCATGGTGCATGGTAAGGTTGGAATTTGTCTATGCGATGAATGAAAATTATTGTCTTAGATGACAAATGCCATAAATTTTAGTAAGTGGATTGAAGAATAGAATTTTGTGTTACCAATATGGAAATATTTCATCTGACCCAAGGGAGTAAGTTTCAATGATCTACCGGGGCATTCAACATGAAATATTTGAATTATAGTTTTGTGATTCATTTTCCTTTCATATTGTAGCTGGTGTTTAGTTTTAGCTGTTTGAGGCTTCTCTTTACTCACGGAACCTTATTCTTATTTGGTTCTATAGTTTTGAGGAACTTATTCCCATTCTACGGCAATTTGTAAGTAGCCGTCAAAGGAATGGCAGACCAGTGCTATGGATTGCACATAATGGACGAAGATTTGATGTGCCTTTCCTCATTAGGGAATTCAATCGTTGTTCAGTGGAAATTCCTGAAGATTGGTACTTTCTAGATACACTTTATCTTGCACGCCAGTTAAGAAAGCCAGACGGTATGCCATTGTTATTTATTCTATCCATATATTATGTCAGTTTCCTTTTTTTTGTCCAATTTCTATGAAACTTCTAGCCTCGGTTTTAGAGATTACATAACTGATCATATAGGGCACTGTAAAATTTTTAGTACAGTATTTTATTGAACAATTAAATTAGTTTATGATACATCAATGTTTTCATTATGAACTAGGTGTCTGCTATTATTTAATACTTCAATGTTGTTGTTGTACCTTTTTTTGTAATGGAAATGCCATTTGGAGACTAGGATGATTAACAATGAATAATGATTTACTCTGAAATGACCATCTTCTTTTTTTCTTGTTCTTATCCTTTTCCTTTCCTTTCCTTCTCTCCATTCTCTCTCATTCTCACTCTCAGGGTCTGTTTGGGGCAGCTGTTGTTTTTCAGCTTTTCAGCTGCAGTTGCACTGCCCCAATAAGCTGCTACGGGGAAGCTGACTACCTGTTTGTTACAGCTGTGTGCTGTGTGAAAACAGCTGTGGGGTAGCTCTTTATGAGAAAATGAACAATTTGCCCATGTTTAGTAAATCTGTTTAAAACAGAAGTGAGACAACCATATATTGTTACTTCAGAAGCAGGAATTCATTTCAAAACAGAATAAAAGTTTTAATATGCAACTCACTTGAGTACCAAAAGTCCTAAAGAAAAAGAGAAAAATTATTAAAATTACAAATAAAATAATGATGATATTATTTTTAACATAAAAGCAATGCATGTCTTGTTCTAAGCTCTCCTCCAAAGATGCTATCAATTCGCGATCACTTTTGACAGAGAAATCAACCGGACTGTTAGCCCATCGGAAGAAGTCGCACTTTTCTGCGAGGCTTTGTGACATTTGTAAAATTGTTGACCGTAGCTATGAGGCTGACGTGACCTCAGAAAGGAAGTCTTTAGTCCGCAGTGTCATAGCAATTTTCTGGATGTCCTTTAAATTTTGGAGCTCATCTTTTCTGAAAGCACCGAAATAGAAACCATTAGTCATTCATTTTAAGCTGGAAACTATCAAAAAAAAAAAAGAAAACAAGAAGAAAAACATATCAAAACTGACCAACATCAACTATTAGTGAAATCACACAATAACTCAATCACCCTCAAACTAACGCATCGGTGATTTGTTCCCTAAGGACCGCTATTTCATTTGCACCTTCCCCTTCTTTCATGCAAATAATACAATGATCATCGTCATCTCGTAACAGAGAATGCCCGAGGTGGTACTTGAATGCTTCTGCAGGTACTTGCTGTTGATCCTCTTTGGCACTGCTGAAATGCCTAAAAATATACTACTTTTTATTTGCATTTAATACAAATCTTTTAGTTATATTACATTTTAAAGATAGGTATTTTTGTGTTTTTGATTACATGTATGATAGACTATGCAATTGAAACAAATGGAGTAAAAATGGAGCAATTCAGAGTAAAATGAAGCAAATTGGGGTCAATAGAGCATAAAAGAAAAAATTAGTTTGACGCCTAGTCCCCAGGTAGTTATTCTGTGCTTCTAGTATGCTGGCGCCTAGGCGTCACGGGTGGGACACCTACGCGTCACGAGTGGGGCACCTAGGCACCAAAATCGGTTTTTTTTTAAAATGCAATGTATTTTTACGAATTTTGAAGGGGCATCTAAAGTGACTCTTCGAGATTTCGAGGTTATATTAAAAAGAGAGATTTCCAAGTGTAGGACTCCCTTCGTTTGTGTGTGTTGGTGTCTCTTGAGGTGTGTGTGTGTGTGCGTGTTTGGTGTAATCCTAGAGGGAGAAGAGAGAGTGAGGCTTGGTGTCTCTTCGTGTGGGAAGTGTCTTTTGGAGTCTTGGTGGCGTCTTGGTGGCTCTTGGTGGCTCTTGGAACTTTGGAGAGAAGTGTAAGGGATTAATATTTGCTGTGGAAGGTGTGAATCTTCTGTAAAGATAAGTCTTGTACTCTTATTGTATTTGCTTTGAATTATTACAGTATGGTTGTGTGATTTCAATGTCATTTGCACTGGAAAAACCATGCGTCTTCTCCATGCTTAGTGAGTAGTTTTCCTTACTATTTTCTCTTGTGATGAAGTAGTGACACGTGTAAGAAAATTTATTTTATGTTAGAATAATTTTAATTTTTATGTGACGAGTAATATCTATGTTGCTTCATTGATATAACGTACTGGTCATAGGTTATGTTAAAATCTGTTGTAAGTTGAGACTAAAACTCGGAAGAGAGGTGAGACTCGAGAGCGTAGCGATCTCACAACATGAGAGGGCTCACATTGACCGATTGGCTGATAACGTAGTTTAGGTGACAATGCAATTTTTTAAAAAAATATACTTCATGTTCTATTTCTATTAGGAGCTTCTAGGTGACAATTGATGTAAGTGAATGAGTTCCTTAGTATGAGTTGTAAGAATTTTAACCACCTTCGCATCTCTGTTAGTTGTGTAAATCTAATAGAATATTAAGCGTACCAATACACTCAGAAGAGGGTAGGTAGGCATATGTTTCTTGTTGGCACAAAAATTATTACATAATTCTATCAATTCTTCTACTAAAGCCACTATAATCATTATGAGTGGGAAGAAATTTTGATTATATAAGAACTTTCCAAAGTTTAAAGAGCCTTCGTAGATTAATTTTTTATTTTAATGTAGTTAACTTTAATTTTAAAGTAAAGTAGTGAGTTTCGGAAAATCATTTTTTTTCAAAAATTTCAGGCTTAGACGAATTAGTGTAAACTAGCAGTTTTACTGAAGTCGTCATGAATTAACACCATTTCACGATGGGATTGATACTTAGAGTTTTTGAAAGAAAGCTCTATATTGCTTGAACGATTCGTATGCTTGCGTAGAATTTCTAGTGTGTAAATTATAAATCAATTTTTAAACTCTATAAAATATCCATTTTGCACACTAGTTGCCTGAAGAAACTGGGTCAAGTTTTTGGCCGAAAAATTAAATAATTACGTAACTGCGGAACATGTCAAGTTTTTGGCCCCGTTACCGGAGAAGGAATAGTTGATTTGACTTAAGTAAAATTTTAGTTGAACTAATTAGACTTAGACTTGAAATATTGACTATGGAATATGTTAAGTTTGTGTGTAAAAAAAATTTATTTAAAATTATTATTGAAAAAATAATTTATAAGTATTTTTGAGAGCCTGTTTTTATTTCTTTTTTAATTTTTATTTTTTTTATGCATAATTCAGGAGTTATAGACCTTGAACCATACGAATCAGAACTAGAGAGAACTGTTAGGAGGATTATGAATCAGAGAGGACTCCATGAATTTATTGTAGAAATGACGGATCAACAAGATAATGAATATTCATTTTTGGATTATAATGCTAGTAGCTTCGATGGAGTAAACCCCAAGAGGGTAGTGAACTTTCATGAAGCTGATATGCTGATTATTTTACCTTCTCAGATTGCAATTATTACGAGAAAGTTAGATCAATATGTAGAAAGTTTTCCTTAAGGGCTACCACTTATTGATAAAATTCATTTGGACAATTGATTAAGCCAACTCTTTTGAAACTAGCCATGAGATACACAATCGCTCAGATAACCCTTATTCAGATTATTACAACCCAGGCTGGGAGAATCATTCTAACTTTAATTAGAATTACAATTTTGGAGAAAGAAACGAATTGTGGCAAGATAATCAACTTAATCAGATATGTAATTGGAATAATCAGGGCAGTTTTTAACGTTGAACTTTCTTTTTCTCATAGATTTAACTTCAATTCACAGAATGAGAAGTGGTTATTGTTAGAAGAGAGTGTCATTCAAATGGAGAGTCAACTAGAAAGTCAAGGGTCTGCAATAAGGAATATAGAAAACCAATTGGAGCAGAGAGAAGTGGTTATTGTTAGAAGAGAGTGTCATTCAATATCAAGGGCCTGCAATAAGGAATATAGAAAACCAATTGGAGCAGATTGTTAACTCAATTAACAATCATCCTCCAAAGATTTTACCCAGTAATCTTGAGATAAACCTTAAGGAGAAGAACAGTGTGCAAAATAAAACTATCCAACTAAGAAGTGGAACAGAATTGAAATATATGGTTCAAAAGAATCTTGAGTTGAGAAAAGAGAAAAATGAGATTGAATGACCAATGGAAGAAATTCTTAAAGAATTAGAAAAAACAAGATAAATATAGAAAAACCACTCCCATCATTTCCTTAGCCCCCCAAGGGAAAAAATTAGAAGATAACTCGAGCCTTAAGAGGAACATAGTAGAATTTGATTCAAAATCTGAATCATCTAAAGAGAATCCAATCTAAAATTTTGGAGAACTTGAATTATCATATAGAGATCCATTTTTTATAAATTTTATGGATGATATTAATATGCAAATTGAGAAAATCATTAGAAGAATATTGGATCTAAAAAGAAACACGAGGAATAATAATCTGAATCAATATGAAAAGAAAAAATTGAAAGAAAAATTAAAATTCAAGGATTTCGTAGGAATCACATGATCCGAAAAAGATTGGGTGATTGATAATGAATTCCTTAAATGGAATTTTGATCCGAGATGAATCTTTGTCGGACTGCCGACGTTAAACGAAACGCTTTGTGGAAGACACCCAGATTATTTTTGTTGGTGTGATTGTTTGTGAGCTGTGACTCTTGTCAAGCTGATGACGTTAAATCAAACGCTTTGTAGGCCGCAACCCATAGTTATCAGTGCGGATTAATTAGATTGTTTGTTGTTATGATGTTTTTAAATGTGTTTTATTTTAAAGATATTGTGAGATAATGAGACTTACATGATGAGAAGACATTCAAAGCACGAAGAGGATAAAATTTAAAGCTCTCATTTATTGATCAATTATCAGTACTGCTACAAGAAGTTCTTCTATGGGATTGGGATACCCTTCCCTTATCTTTGCTCTGTGTCAACAGTCTGGAGTTACTTATGAAAATTGGGAGGAATTATTACATCCTTTGAAGCCAATCACGAAGGCAAAGGTACAAGTTTATCAAAAGCATTTTGAGACCGGATTCGGTGCAAACAGTGCCGATATTCCATCTTCTTCTCGAGCATCGACATCACGAGCCTCACATAGATCTGCCTCAAAATTAGAGCCTATTTTGGAACTTTTGAAGATACTTGAAGGAGATATGGCTTTTATGTAGAGCGAAATGTTCGAAAATGCGGAATTTAATGAACATTTGTACAGGCAGAAAAAGAGAAAGCGATTTTAAGGCTTGATACTATGCATCCATGATAGAAATGTTTAAGCAAAATCAATGGGTCGGAGGAAGTAAGAACATTGAATTTCTTGAACATCTTCAATATCAAACTTTTACTTATCGCCAACCCATGAATAATGACATAGTAGATGAAGAAGTTGAGGAAGACAATGATGATGAGAGTGAGTAGGTGTTTTTGCTTATGTGTGGAACTCTAATGTGTAGGTGTCTTGGTGTTTATTTGTGTTGGATTGATATATGTGTGTTGTAGGTGTGATGAAGTGATAATGTAGTAAACTATGTTTATATTATTGTTTTTATGAAATGATTTTTATTGTTGTTTGCGTTAGACTTATCTTTTTATTCATTCCTTATTTATTATATAACAATTTTCTCTATTAAATTGTGAACCTGAAAATCATACGTCTACTTTTATACTTAGTACCTGTACTAAAGTTTATGCTTTCCTTTTAGTTCAATTCAATTTTTAGCATGTATTTATTAATTTTAATTTTTCTTGTTATATTTATCTGCACTGATTGTAAAATATATAAAAATTCAAGTTTGGGGAGGAAGAAAAGTAAATTTCAAGGCTAAAATTTATTTGTCATAGACGAAACTACAAATAAATTTTATTTGAAAAATGATTTTTGTTATGTGGAGTTATAATAATATTACTAAAATTTTAATTATAGAAATGCAATAGAAAAACTTAGTAGAAACTTTAGTGAAACTTTAGTAAAAAAACTTTAGTAAAAAAGTTGAAACAAAAATTAAGATGTTTAGCAGAAAATAGGGAAAATGTTTTTACTATCTATAGTAGGAAAAATTGAATTTTTGAAAAATTAAGGATTTTTAGAATAATAATTTTTTTTAAGAATTTAGACATAATTCTTTTTAAAAAACTAATACTACATTTTAAGTTAATGATATAAAATAAGTTTTTAACTTTAGAAAATAGATAGTGAAATTTAAAATCATTAAAAACCTATTCAAATATACTAATCATCACCTTCTTAAAAAGGAAAAGAAAAAAAAGTAAGTATGAAAAAGAGAGGAGAAGCTTGAGGATTATGACCTAATTAAAAATTAATTTCACTTGATTCATTCTAAGGAAGAAAACTTAGGATTAATCCTAAGCTTAAATTCAGAAAGTATTAGTAAAAATTATTTTCAAAATAGAATTCATAAATTATAAAATTAATATTTTTCTAAGAATACAAAGTTGAAAAAATTCAATTATTTCTGAATTCAATAGAAACTCTGGATTCCTAAGTTTAATACTAAATATTTTGATACCTTAAACATCATCTAATTTACTAGAAATTCTTCTAGGTTGGACTAAGACATTTCTAGAACAAAATTTTAGGTCATCTTGAAGAAACCCACAAACATTAATCAACATATTTTTAAAGATTTTTAAAGTTGTAATGTTAGTTGTAATGTTATTTGAGAACAAATAACGTTTAAGTTTGGTAGATTTTGATAAATTATAAAATTAATATTTTTCTAAGAATACAGTTGAAAAAGTTTCAATTATTTCTGAATTCAATAGAAACTCTGGATTCCTAAGTTTAATACTAAATATTCTGATACCTTAAATATCATCTAATTTACTAGAAATTCTTCTAGGTTGGACTAAGACATTTATAGAACAAGATCTTAGGTCATCTTGAAGAAACCCACAAACATTAATCAACATATTTTTAAAGTTGTAATGTTACTTGAGAACAAATAACGTTTGAGTTTGGTGGATTTTGACTTGCCTAAAAATGGACAACTTTTTATTTGCATTTAATACAATTTTTTTGGTGATATTGCACTTTAAAGGAAGATATTTTTTTGTGTTTTTTATTACAGGTACCATAATTTATGCAATTGAAACAAATGGAGCAAAAGTGGAACAATTTGGAGTTAAATAGAGTAAATTGGGGTCAATGGGGCATAGAAGAAAAATTGGCCTGACGCCTAGGCACCATAATTATTTTTTTTAAATGCAATGTATTTAGACGAATTTTGAAGGGGCATCTAAAGTGACTCTTGGAGATTTCGAGAGTTATAATAAAAAGAGAGATTTCCCTGTGTTAGACTCTCTTCCTTTGTGTGTGTTGGTGTCTTTTGGGGGGTGTGTGTGTGTGTGTGCGGTGTAATCCTAGAGGGAGAAGAGAAAGTGAGGCTTAGTGTCTCTTCGTGTGGAAAGTGTCTTTTGGAGTTTTGGTGACACTTGGGACTTTAGAGAGAAGTGTAAGGGTTACTATAAAGATAAGTCTTGTACTTTTATTCTATTTGTTTTCAATTACTGCAATAAAGTTGTGTGATTTCAATGTCATTTGCAGTGAAGTATCCATATTTATTTTCTATTTTTTGTGAGTAGTTTTCTTTACTCTTTCCTCTTGTGATGAAGCAGTGACATGTGTAGGAAAATTTATTTTAAATAGAATAATTTTAATTTCTATGTGATGAGTAATATCTGCGCTGCTTCATTGACATAACGTGTTGGCCATGAGTTATATTAAAATCTGTTGTAAGTTGAGACTTAAACTTGGAAGAGCGCTTCATAATTTGAGTGCATTTACATTGTCGGGTTGGCTATAGTGAAATAGTTCTGACGGTGATGCAACTTTGAAAAGAAATATACTTGATGATCTGTTTCCATTAGAAACTTCTAGGTGACAATTGATGTAAGTCAATGAGTTCCTTACCATGACTTGTAAGACTTTTAACCATTTTCGCATCTCTGCTAGTTGTGGAAACCTAATAGAATATTAAGCGTACCTAAACACTCGGAAGAAGGTAGACAAACATATGTTCCTTGCTGGCACAAAACTTATTATATAATTCTATCAATTCTTCTACTACTTATGCCACTACACTCATTGCAAGAGGGAAGTGATTTTGATTATCTAAAAACTTTTCAAAATTTAACCAGCTTCCGTAGATTAGTTTTTATTTAATTTAGTGAACTTTATTTTTATATTAAAGTAATGAATTTAAGAAAATCAAACTTTTCGAAAATTCCAGGCTAAGAAGAGTTATTGTAGACTAGAAATTTTATTGAAGTCGTTACGAATTAACATATTTCTCCGTAGACGTATGATCGATACTTAAGGTTTTTGAAGAAAGTTATATATTACTTCAACAATACGTATACTTGCATAGAACCTCTAGTGTGTAAATTATAAATCAGATTTTAAACTCTATAACATATCCATTTTGCCCACTAGCGCCTGAAGAAACTGGGTCAATTTTTGGTCGGGAAACTAAAAACTGCGCAATTGCGGAATGAGTCAACTGCGGAAGTCAATGTCACTTTGAGACGGATGTCGCATAATTTACTTGTGCAACGCCATCGTGGCTATCATAATTTGTATTTGTTTGGGAAATGGGTGAGATGACATATCTTGTAGTATCATCCATTTTCTCATCCAAACGCCAAAATTCCTCTCGATGACACATTGTAAGAAGGAATGTCTTCTGATAAACACCTCTTTTCTGCCATTTGTAACATTACTGGTTCGCTCAAAATCATGTATATGATATCTCGTATCAGGAAAAAGTTTTCAGATACCATCGTCACAATGGATAGCCAACATTGACCAAATAATATGTCTGAAATGTACTGTAGGTTCAGTACGATGTTTATAGTGAATAACCAAAGGATTTGAGACTGCAACATACCGTGCGGAGGGTGTGGGAAGTTGTAGTAAGGATTTAGCATAGCAACCTTAAAAATTTTGTCGTGCGCACTACCCTCCCAACCGAACATGACAAAAGTAAAAAACATGTTAAAGTCACACACAATCATGACATTCTGGGTAGGGGCTCCACAACGTTCGATAAATGCAATCTTTTACTCATTTTAAACTTTTGCATCAACGTGAGTACTTTCTATTGCTCCAATGCAATCATACACAGATACCTTTGAGTTATAAATATCTGATATTCATATTTAAAATTTAATACTAGAAATTGCAAATGTTACCTTAAAGAACGACATGCATTGTGCATCGCATTCAATCTCTGTAGGTGTTCGTACAAACGTTGGATCAGTTGGTTTTATGACTTGTGTAGATAGACTCACAAGTACATTCAGACCCACAAAGAAGTATATACTGATCGTCTCAGATGAGTGTTAGAATTGTTCCATCACACCATGCATTAACTCGTTTTGTGATAATATGTAAAAAAGTTATCGCCAACACCTCACGTTAAGTCGTCCTCGATGACCCATGAAGACCATGAGATCCACTAAGTTCTATTAAAAGAATTTTAAATATCTCTTGCCTCATGCGGAACATGTTGCTGAATCTGGTTGGATGCTTAGCAAACAATTTTTTAACCCATTTGTCTCTGATATAAGATGATGTGAAGCATGAAGAGATTAAGGAGATTGCTACATTTCTCCATCTTCGTCTTTCTGACCAATATACGTGTTGTAATACTCAAAGATCAAGGAGATTGCTACATTTCTCCATCTTCGTCTTTCTTGGTCCGAATCTATGTTTGTGTATATTGTACTAGTGTTAAGAAAAAAAATGAAATTAACAAATCACAAAGAAAACATGACCCAAACATTTATAATAGATAAAATGGACGACGTACGAATATCAGATAAATATATAATAAGAAAATACAATAACGAAGTAAAAGTGTCCCAAACAACAACAAACGAAAAAAAGTCTCCTAGTCAATAGCAAATAAGAGAAAAATTTCCTCAAGTTTCCCTAGAAGAATAGAAATGTCGTAGATATGCCACTCATTTTTCTTTGATAATCGTTGGTCAATATACGTGTTGTAATACTCAACGATCAAGGAGATTGCTACCTTTCCCGTATCCGTCTTTCTTGGTCTAAATCCATATTCGTGTATATTGTACTAGTGTTAAGAAAAAAATTAAATTAATAAATCACAAAGAAAGCATGACCCAAACATTTATAATAGATAGAATGGACGGCTTACGAATATCAAATATGTAATAAGAAAATACAATAACAAAGTAAGAGTGTCCCAAGAAACAACAAATGAAATAAAGTCTCCCAGTCAATAAAAAATAAGAAAAAACTTTTCTCAAGTTTTCCTGCAAGCATAAAAATGACGTAGATATGCCACCCATTTTCTTTGATAATCGTTGTAAAAAAATCTCTGTGGACTGGATCTTGAAGAAGCTCTACTGCAAAAAGGTATATCTCAAAATCCTCTGAAATTTCCTTATCTTCATCTAGAATTTGCACGACCTGCTTAATGGAAGTTCCCTAAACTGTATGCGGGGCATTGTTGGAAATACCTACCAGATGTGATATCTGGTTTTTGAGATAAGCAACTCCACCCTTTTCTTCCCTCTTCACGAGGATGCTTAGAACGGTTGGTGGACTGGATTTTGTGTAGTTCTAGGCTGTAGAGATCGGGTGAATCACCTGATAGGTTGACGACCACATTCTCATGGCTACTACAAAACTCTGTCGCACTTGGAGCACATGCATATTTGCCTGTTGCGACGACACCCTCAAACATCCGATCCAACTTCTCGAACTCGGGGTAAATTCCACAAAGTTAGTACTTCTTCGCTGTGGGCACCACCTGCAAAATCATATTAAACACTTCAATTAGTATTAAAAAAAATGAAATGATGAAATGAATCAAATTAGATTAGACGAAATGAAAAATTGCTCACCGCATATCTTTCTGTTCACCATTCCTCCGAATCATCAATGGTTCGCTTCACCAAATCCCAACCCAAGCCCATTGATCATCTTTTCAAATCCTTCCAAAATTTAAAATCTTTCTTGAGTTGATCTCACTTGTTCTTCATTTGCATCCTGTCATACTCTTTGCATGTAATTTCCTTGAACTTTTTTGTAATATTTTGCCAACTTCCTTTTTCAAAAAGGTAGTTGTCCTATTCCCCATTCAATTTCCTTGATACAAAAGTCACAAAAAATTATTTTGGTTTCTTTTTCCCATAATGCCTGTGTAGCAGTCCCTTTGGTCTCATTTGACATTATATTCCTAGAGTACACCAATATATTGTAACATAACCATCAAAACAATGTCACAATTAAAAAGAAAGAACTCAAAGAGGAGCCTAACCTATCTGGATTTGTAAAATAGAAATCCAAGCTTTTGCTTCATGCAGTAAATTTAAAAAATGCAAGAGCAATTCCAATGTTACATATCTAACACCTAAACATTGTTTTTTTACATTATACCACCTAAATCTTTCATAGCACATAAAAAATACCGTCAGTTTAATTTTTCAAAGGTAAAATACAACTTTTCATGAAAAGGCAAGGTTATATTTATGTAAAAATCAATTTTTTGTTGTTAGATATGTAAATATTTGAAATTGAGTGGCATCCCAATCATGAAAACAATTTCGTCATCCAAAAAGATTTTTTTTTTTGGTCTGATATCCCAATCATGAAAAAAATCAAAAGTTCTTTTAAAAGATAATAAAAAAGAAGGTAAACATCTTTATGCTAGACATATACCATTAAAGCATCTGAAAAACATAACGTAATTACATGTAAACAAAACTTCTCAGTTTCTTCTCAAAATTCTAAAGTAAGAAAATCATAATTCAGATGCAGAAAATTTTTATCTCTAAATACCCTTTGAGGAATATATGAGCAAAAGAGATGAGAAATAGATAGATCACCTCTGATTCCAATGTCTTCAGATGGGTTTTGATATTGTCCACAGTTCCTGGTCCAAAATAAGTGTCTGATACAATTGTTGCAAGCAAATCATCAGCTTGAATACCAATAAAGTCCTAAGTTAAGGAAAAACAGGGACCTTTTATACGAAACAATCATCCAACAAATTACGAAAAGAGAAAACAATGTCTCAGAATTGTCAGCACATTAAAATATCTACCAAAAGAAGAATACACAAGCCATAACCATCAATCCATAATCTTATTCTTAGCAAAATTAAGTATGGAAATTATATTTCTTATGGTTAAATTAATAACTTCACTCTTTAATGAAAGAGAAAATAGACAAACACCTAAAAAGTCATACTCACATGTATGACCAAATATTCTGTTAAGACCAAATATTATAAACAGAAATTGCAGTTCGAGAATCTATTAAAAAGTCATACTCACCTGTTAAGTTAAAATATTATAAACAGAAATTGCAGTTCGAGAATCTATTCATTATTTCAACATGCTGCATACAGAATTCTGTGTATTTACATATCTAACACCTAAAATTCAAATTTGCATTAGAGAAAATCTATCTAATCTTTATGCTTAACAAATAATTTTCACTTAAAATTATTATGCAAACCATTTGAATCAGGAAAATGATCGGTGTAAGATAAGACAAG